AACCCCTGAGCAACATTTAATTCAGTTGGCATTCAGTGAGGTACAGCAGTATGGTAGAAAATATTCACTATATATTTTTTTTTTTTTAAATTTAATATTCCCAAATGTGGCTAGTGCAAAAATAGGAAAGGCTCTCCCACTAATGGAGAATTTTAAACTAGCAAAAGAAATAGATTTAAAAAAAAGAAAGAAAAGAAAACAATTACCAGCATAAATTTAACAAACTGACAAATTTAAAAGATTAAACAGCCAGGTGCTCCTAGCAGGTGTGGTCTAAAGCATTCAGGCTTGTGTTAACACAATGTCATGTGCAATACTCAAAGAAATTACAGATAAATAAATAATAATAAAGCAAGTAAATGATGGCTTGTTTGGAAAAGTTGCCAGGAGAAAGCCTCTTCTCTAAAAAGACAAGGCAGCATGTCTTAGTTTTGCAAAGTTGTATCTAAGCAAATCACGAGACTGCCCCAGGACAAAAGCAGTTCTTTGGTTTGTTTTATGGAACTTTAAACATCAAGTAAGCTATAGTAAAGCTGTTAAGTGGATTTTATTGCCTTTAGACAAAGAGAGGACAAACTGTTTTTCTTTTTCTGTCTTCTGTGCCAGTTAACGTTACTAGTTTACTTTTCTCCCAGTGTAAAATGTTTTTCGATGAATCTAAATTATTGATAGTGTTCCTACTTTTCTTCACATTCATCCCCATTGTCTTCTTAAGACTCAGATATTCAGGATGTTGAAGAGATTATTACATTCCTCACGTTCAGTGAAATGCATTTGCTTCCTGCTTTCTTCAAATAATCCCCAACTTTGTAACAACTCTTAAGAAGGGTGATCACATGCTGATTGCATTGTGACTCTGGGGGTCCTCTTATCAACAGGACATGGCAGTCATCTACAGTACAAATGAGCACTCTCCCCGCCTCAGTCCATCTATAAGCCTACACACTCTATTCTCCATCCGGATATCATTATAGTCCCTAATCGCAGCCGCATTTGTGTTGCCTGGCCACCGAGACAGAAACAGATATAGCAGGTAGTTTCCACTCCTGTTATGGCGGTCCCAGTCCCATTCTAGATGCAACTATCTGCCTGAGCAGTATAGCAGAACAGAAGCACTGCTTGTGTTTCTTGTGTGTTGTACAAACCAGCTGTGTCAAAGGACCCCTGGCTCTCCAAGAGGACACACACAGAGGAAGAAAGAAGTGCAGCAAGGCACCCAGTGCTTATATAAATTATTACAATGGTTAAAAATAGGCCTAAACAATTTAAAGGAAGATTTTAAAAAAAAAGCATGAATCAATTAAGTTTTTCTTTGGAATTTCTCAGCGATTTATTCACAGTTTACTCTGAATTTGCCTGAAAGGGAAACTCAAGAGCAAATTGGATGACATGTGCTTTCAGCTCTCTTGGGAAATTACCAGACATAGCATTATTTACAATGGGTGCGTTTTAGCTTTAAATCAATTCAAAAATTAGATCTTAACTGTTATGAAGTGTAGGGTAAGATCTTAAAATGGGGGGTTTCCCTTGGCTAGTTAAATGTAAAGTCATTTAATAGGTTTTCTGTTAAGTGTCACCTGAAACATGAGAACAACAATGTCAGGTGAGAGAGACTCGGGGTGGGGGGTCTCCAGCATGTTTTAGGTCTTGAAAACCTCAAGAGAAATCATCAAGGGGCATTTATTCATGCACCAACGCCTGCACCTGCCGTGTACTCTGGGCAAAATAGATGGATAGGGGAGACGCCCCCTTCCCCCCATAC